GTTGAGACTTAACTGTAGTTTCTACATAAAATAATTTAAAAGAGAAATTTTATACACATTTAATAATTGACAAATTACTTTATCAATCATTAAATGCGAGCATGTGCATGTATTTAATATTAATTAATATTTGATGAATATCTTTAGCTATTAGCAAAATTTGCTTAGAGAACAGTAAAAATAATAAAGAAAATATAACAGTAAAGAACAGTAGAACCATTCAGAACATTTTGTTTTTCATTCAATAAAGATATCAATTACTGAAGAATTTTTCAGTATATCGGTGAAAAAGATGATAAATTAAAATGTGCGTATTGTGCTGCTGATACAACGATACAGAGAACGCTCGTCATTGCGATTCATTGGCGTAAACAATGACGATAGGCAAATCGGTTATTTTGAACAGATCATAAATCGTCTCACGCGCCTATCATAATTTATAGGTCACATATAGGGTGTCCGGAAATCTGTTCACACTATTTGTTAAAGTAATTCAAGAAATGAATTGTTTCCGAGTTAATATGACAAAACATGCATGACGGTAATTTGCACTTGCGCATTTTAACCAATGTAGCCGGAAATCATTTGAATCGAAATTATGGCCAACAATGGATAGGATGTGGAGATCCAGTTGCTTAGTCAACAGACATTTCCATTTGATTTCCATTAAATTTCCATTTGACTTTTATCTATAAGGTCATATAAAATCAATGGTTTAGAAATACTAATAATATTCATGATTTAAAGTAAAGAATAATTCACGGAAAAAATAAGGAGAAATATTTTTCAAAAACTTCGGAATTCTTTTGACAAAAGAATATGGGTCTGCATTCGTACTGAAAATGGTCATTTTGAACATTTTAGTTAATTCCATTTAAATATCAGTTTATGTTTATCCATGACTTTAAAAATAATTTAATCATATTTACAGATATCGAAAAATTGAAAAAAAATTAAAAACTGGGATAAAATTAATTTTAAAAAATGTAAAATAAAAAATAATAAAAAGAAAAAACTTATAAAAGAGGAATGTCACACGGACTATACCTCCATGTAGTGCATCTCACTCTAACGCCAAAATAATTCAAAGTGAAGTTATTTCTATTAAAAAGCTATAACATAAATTATGATTATTATAATTATAATTATAAAAAATAAATTATGACTTTTTTAACATAAAAGTGGATATAATTCGGAAACAACTCATTTTCGGACTTAGCTTTATATAGCTTTTTTTCCTTTTTTTTTAGGTCCTGAATCATTTCAAAAAGTAGTGCGGACATGTTTACGGACATCCCGTATAAAACTTGTCACGTATAAGATAGCTCTATAACATGATTGTTTTCTGTTGCAAAATTGCATGTTTTAATGAATTTTAGTGATAGATTTATACATCATATTATTATAAATAATTTAAAATTTTTCATACATATTGTATTTACCATTCTTTATCTATTTATATTTACTCAATATTCTATAAATATTTTATTATATTATAAACATTTTAAACATAAAAAGTTTATTTATTAATCTTAAATTTAGTTAAATAAATGTAAATTTTAATTAATTTTCTAACATTTTCTTCAATGTTTTTTTCGAAAAAATATATCAATAAAGCAAGAATAAATTTTTCAAAATTTATCAATACCGTATATGCGAGAATACATACAATTAACGTAAAGCAGAAATAAAAAATAATTTGTGCGTGATATAACTTTGAAAGACAACAGCTTAAAAGCGTTACTATGTCTTATTTTATGATAAAAAGTAATAAGAATGAGCACGTACGAGCAAGTCACATTATATTCACAATTATGTGTATTATCTCATTGTATAAAACCGTGAATCATCATATTTTCAAATTAAATATTAATCTTATTTAAATTTGTTTATTTTAACATTTAATATAAAGATAACTTTTTATAAATATAAAAGATAACTTTAACATATAAAAAATAACTTTTTTATTCTTTTTTTATTCTTAAATATGTAAATTCTATCCTGCATATTATTCAAATGAAACATGAACATAAAAATTTATACAAATGACATATGTATAAACTAGCATTATCAAGATGCTCATATATACAAATTATGTACGTGAAGTATGCGAATTTGTTTCTCAATAAATACAATACAAAAGATTATTGATGATAAAGATTGTTGATATAGAATATTTATATCATTCTACAATTTTAATTCAATATTAATATCAAATTATGAAATTTAAGCATTATAATGTCAAGAAATACATGCAAAATTATATTATGTATAACAAAACTTTTGGCCGGAAAAAAGATTGATTTATTAAATAAAAAATAGTAAAGTAAATAAAATAAAAAAATGACTATATTATCTAACAAAAATGTTGAAATATAAATATAATTTATTCGAAAATAATAATTATTGATACAATAATCATTCATATATATAATATAATAAATAAAATGAAAAACAAAATACGCGTTATTTCAATCATATGTTTATATTGTAATACGAGATAAATATAGATGATACTTTTAAGTACAATTTTTTAAATAGAACAATGTACAAAAAACA